GACTCATTAAATATTCCTGGTCGTGACCCACCAAAATAATTTCATGAATCACTCATGAATCATGACTAACAAATTTGAAAAATAGTTGTCCAGACAAAGAAGGAATTACTCAGAGCCCCACTGACAATTTTGGCCATAATCATTTATATATGTTGAGTTGATTTTATGGATATAAATAATGATCAACTGAGTTAGTTATTTTACACAGCTTATTCCTGTTTGAGTTTAACTTTAATAAGGCTGTCTTTGCAAAGTTTTTTGTTTTATGAACATCCTCAGACAAAACTTTCAGATTCAGAATTTATGAGTACTAGACATCATGTCCTTGAGTATAAAGATTTGCCTTTTAAAATTGTCTCCAAAATTTCAAGCCTCTGTAAATATCAGTAAATCATGAAGTGTTTATTTTATTTCTATTGAAGTGTAGTTGGCATACAATATTTTACTAGTTTCAGGTGTACAACTAGTGATTTGACATTTATATACATTATGAAATGATCACCATAATAAGTCTAGTTTCCATCTATCACCAGAGTTGTTACAATATTATTGACTGTATTCCCTGTGGTGTACTTTACATCCTCATGACTTAAGCATTTTATAACTGGAAGTTTGTACCTCTTTGTCCTCTTTACTTATTTTACCCACTCTGACAACCACCAGTTTGTTTTCTGTATTTATGAGTCTCTTTCTGTTTTGCTGTTTGTTTGTTTTGCTTTTTAAAAAAGGTTCCACATGTAAGTGAGATGATACGGTATTTGGTATTTGTCTTTCTCTGTCTGACTTATTCCACTTAGCATAATGCCCTCTAGGTCCATCTGAGTTGTCACAGGTGACAAGATTTCTGTCTCTTTTATGCCTGAGTGATATTCCACTGTATATATATGTGACATCTTCTTTATCTACTTATCTATCAGTGGGAATGTTTACTTTTCTAATCTAAGTTGTACATTTGTAAAATGTATTGTGTAACTTGAGTAGCAGTGTTGTTTACAGTTTACCATTTTGAAAAGATAATTTGAAATCAAGATCATTAATGATTTTTAGAACTTTTATGCAGGAGCTAGGTTGAAGTTCGACTTTCATAAAGGTTTAATTTAATTGAGACTTACTCTTCTAAGTTTTTTGGATCACTTTTTCCACAATAATTTTTTGGCTTTTGAAATCTGGACAGTGACTTAAGATGATAACATTGGAGTACACTGAGTTTCATAATGGTTGTTATATATATAGGAATCCAATAATAATTACAGCTATTATGCACTTGATAGGGTTCTTACAGACTATCAGGCATTCTTCTAAATGCTTTATATACTATTCTTTAATTCTTCCCACAATCGTATTAGGAAAGTATTACTGCTCCTGTCTTACAAAGGAGGAAACTAAGGCTAATAATAGGACTAAGTAACCTTCCCAGGGTAATAAGACCTCAGTCTAGAGTAAACATTCAAACACTGTCTCCAAAGCCCTGGGGTTTTACAACCAGGCCCTACTGTACATGATAATAAAGCACCGTCTCCTCTCACCTGTAACCCAGAGAAGCCAAAATATCCAGAATTGAATTGTGTTATTTTTCACCTACACACAGGGCTGGCCACACAACGTGCAGTACAGTGAGAAATGAAATACAGGGCCCCTTGTTCAAAGAGCAGGAAGGAAGGTGCTCTTAAAATTAAACTATAAAACTGTTTGCTTTATTCCATGGTCCCTCCTTCTTGACTTGCCATCGTGTTTTTTTATTTGCCGTTTAACTTCATACTGAACAAAGAAAATTAAAATTTTAAAGTATTAGCATGAGTTTTATTGCTCATTGTTATATTGTGCAGTTGCGGTTGTGAATGCAAATATAAGACCATTTAGCTCCTGCAGAATCACCAGCACTATACAATTTGGATTCCGTAGCTTGTACACGCCTATGTATTTCATTCTTAATGTGGAAACATTGCACAAATAACTTTGCTGTTTTTATTTCACTTCTTGATAGGTGCACATTCTACTCCTATTCTGTCCTTTCAGCATTTCGATGAGTAAGGCAGGTTTGGAAGGACAAAGAACCCAGGACTGCCCTTTCCCTTTCTTTCTTTGTCCTCAATTTCAGCCTAAATGGTTGGCTAATATGGCAAGGAAATACGACTAAGAAAGGATATCCAAGGGCTCTCTGGTCATGTGTGTTTTCTTAGAATTGCCTTCTTTCTGCATTTGAAGCAAGTCCTGGTTCAAACAGAAAACACAAGTCCTTGGGGCTGTTAGTGCCATCGGTCATTCATACACATACTTCCCTTGTACTCACTCCTAGCGTTGCTCCATCCTCACATAACATGTGTCCACCTGAATTTTATGCTTGTGGCACATCAATAACAGTGTATCAATAACAGTGTATCAATAACAGTGTATACAAATGGGGGCAGACACACATAATATACACATTTCATTTGTCACCTTATTGGACTTCACTTACATTACCTGCATTCAAAGATAAAATTATTGGGGCGCCTGGGTGGCTTAGTCGTTTAAGCATCCGGCTTTCGCTTGGGTCATGATCTCGCAGTTCGTGGGTTCGAGCCCCGCGTCCAGCTCTGTGCTGACAGCTAGCTCAGAGCCTGGAGCCTGTTTCAGATTCTGTATCTCCCTCTCTCTCTGACCCTCCCCTGTTCACGCTGTGTCTGTCTGTCTGTCTCTCTCTCTCCTAGAAATAAATAAAAAAATATTAAAAAAAAAAAGATAAAATTATTAAGGGCAGTGTCAAGAGACAGATAAAACAAACAAGGCCTGCTTCTGGGCCTCCGGGCACTGTACCACTGCTTGGGTTGCACAACCATGAGGCTGTTCTTGTCTACATTCATCTCCCAGGCTGCCTTTGTATGACTTTCCTCCTCTTAATGCTAACTTTGATATCTCTTATTAATAGTAATTAGGGATGAAGAGAAGGGATACATCATGGAACTTGTTCAAACCCCTTAGACCTTCAGAAATTTGTCTTGACCTTGAGGTGGGGCCATGCAAATAGGTCTCTGTGGGTCCTTATGCTGTTTGAAATACTAGAGTTGGGTGATTGTCACCTACCAGGATGACATATTTCTGCCACTTCTCTGGAAACAGATGAAGAGTGCATCATTTGATGAAAATAACACACCAAGCACTGCTGCAATATCTTTCCATCTTAAAGGACTTAATAGTTGAAGAAATTTATGAGTAAAGTTTCAAAATGGTAGCATTTATCGGAAGAGCATAATTAAGTTGGTGCCAGCACCTCAGTAGGATAAGGCCCAGCATTGAGAGGGACTAGAAATTCAAGGCTGACCTTCCAGAGGAAAGGCATCAGAAGGATGGATTTCTTTTCTAGACAAGATCATGTGATCTCCCAAGTAGCTTCTGGCGTTCAACTCGCCTTTTGCTTCCTTTTCAGAACGCTGCTTGTTTGGGCCTGCTATTTGCTTACTATCTTTGGACTGTATAGAAGATCCCTCTCCAAATATGTCTTCAAATTTTTTGTCCTGCATAACTGTGTCAACAGTTTATGTCCTTTACTTCAGCAGGAAACCCTCTTGAATATAGTCTTTCTTAAGGCGTTTGAAACCCAGCAATGTACCATGAGCTTACCCAAATAAAAATTCATGCACATTTTGTTGTTTACTCAAATTCTTACCATTGGCATTTGCCCTAATAATACTAAAGCAGGAGACACATTGGTTATCCTGAGTCGTCTCCTCTTACTTGGTAGTACTGATCCCATTGCTTCTGAATCCCTGCTGACACCCAACGAGGTTTAGAGGTCAGTATTCCATCCTGGAAAGTAACCTGTCATATACAGGTGAGTCTTTTAAAGTCTCCATTACTTTACTCTCATTGGCTTGAGATGGGGAGGATGTATGGACATGCATAGTACTCTCACTACTCCAGAAAAATCTTTTCTCATCAGTTTTCTCCGGTCAGTCTCTGTGATGCTGCTTCTATACCTTCAGCTAGGTAGTGGGTTGAGAGTGGTGGGACCAGTCTTCTGGTTCCTTCTTAGCAGTGCCTTCATAGGTGGCCTAGATAATCTCTTTAGAATTATGGACACTTTGTACCTGTTGTTCTCAGCTTTCTGGTTACAAAAGAAATTTAGAGATTCAAGACAACTGTTGGGAATCTTACTTGACATCCTACTAATTAAATGTAGAAGCAGGGGCACCTGGGAAGTTCCATAGGTTGAGCCTCTGACTTTGGCTCAGATCATGATCTCACAGTTCTTGATTCTAGCTCCACAGCAGGCTCTCTGCTGTCAGCACAGAGCCTGCTTCAGATCCTCTGTCGCCCTCTCTCTGCACCTCCCCCACTCATGCTCTCTCTCTTTCCAAAATAAACATTTATAAAAGAATGTGGAAGCAAATACTCCATATTTTACATCTCCCATGATAACATCTTGCTACTGAAACCATGACCTTCTGGAAATAAAAGCTTAATATATAGAAGTCATCATGCTGTTAGAAATTTCAGTTGTGAGTGAGGTATTTCTGTTTAAATTTTACCTGCTTCCCTCATTTATTTTCAAACAGGTAACTTTTCTGCTCTTTAAATTTTCAGAAATATTTCATTCCTTTCTCTTGGGAAGAGATGAGATGTTTCTTTTAATGTCATTGCAAAAGTATGTAAATATAATACCAACAATGTATATATGTAAAGGATTGAAGACATAAGATGAAAACGTTACCTACAATTGAAAATTTGTAGCATTTAAGATACAACATGAAGAGATGATGTATTAATTCATTTTTTTTTGCAATCCAGAAAAGCTTTAATAAAATATTAATTTGAAGTGGATTTCAACTGCCATTTGAGAATTTGTGTGTATGTTTGTGAGCTGTTAAAATGCCGACTTGGTATTGTATGTCTGCTATTCATGTCTCTGATAATGCAAGTGGACATTTCTAGCATTTTAAATATTTGATTTATCGTGTAATGTATTGGAACAGTCTGCAAAGATACTAATTGTCTAACACCCAATTTATTTTATTGCTCAGCCCTTGGAAGCTCCGGAAGACAAGTCACTTGGCCGTTCATCAATGGAGACTGAGGTAACCCTGGACAGTTACCAAACAGCTTTAGAAGAAGTACTCTCATGGCTTCTTTCTGCTGAGGACACACTGCAAGCCCAGGGAGAGATTTCTAATGATGTAGAAGAAGTGAAAGAACAGTTTCATACTCATGAGGTAAAGCAAAACGTTGATGGATGCATCAAAGCACATGACTTGTCATAATGGCAAGTCCCTCTTTTTATCTGAATTACTCTTTCAGATCCTTGTAGTTTGGTCATTTAGTTTTTATTTTGAAATGGAAGCAAATCCGTGTTTATGGGCATGGGATTCCGACAGTTCGCATTTAAAGTTCTGTGTTGCCGAATGACACTTGAAATTGGTGAGATCTCATTTTGCCAGTGATTCATGTCAGGGACATGAGAGCCCAGCTCCCTTCTCTTGGGTTAAGGTGATGCTGGGTTATAACCTACACTCTGAAGGACCCATGCAGCATCAGGCTACACCGCCCTCCATGGGAGACTTTTCTTGAAATGACACACTTGCTTTCCACCCCTTTCATGTCCTGTTTCCTGCTCCTTTGGCTGCTTTGCAGGTCTTCCTGGGAGCTTTTACTCAGAAAATCATTTATCTCAGGATCTGCTTCTGTGGAAGGTGACTTAGGCTAGTAGTTGCCCTTAATTCATATTTAAAACACTATTGGATTTTCTTAAATAAAAACTGAAATCCTTTTACTGGGAATGTAATTTAAATGGGCTACTGATTTAAAAATGGAAAAAGATAAAATTGATAACCATAATGATTTACCTAAAGTGTCCACTTTTGTCACCTTCTTTTTCTGTCAGGGGTACATGATGGATTTGACATCCCATCAAGGACGGGTTGGTAATGTTCTACAATTGGGAAGTCAACTGATTGGAACAGGGAAATTATCAGAAGATGAAGAAACTGAAGTACAAGAACAAATGAATCTCCTAAATTCAAGATGGGAATGCCTCAGGGTAGCTAGCATGGAAAAACAAAGCAAGTAAGTCTTTGTATTTAATTCCTAAGAATAGCGAGTTTTGGACTCGTGCAATTACCTTTATGTGGTTTCTCCTTTAAGTTGCAATTCTCAAGTTTGCTCGTAGAGCATGTAACTCCTTTTAGGGCATGTTTTGGTTGGATTTTCATGTCTGTTTCACTTTGTTTTTCATTTTTTTGATTGATGTGGAAAGGTTGGATAGAAGGACCATTATCTCCAGAACTCTCCTCTCAAAATTGCCAAAATTGATGTCACAGTTAACATTTTCTAAGTTTTCTCCAAAAATTAAAATGTGAATATGGAAGATTCAGAAATGTAAACAGGAAACCATGCCCATAAAATCATCTGTTAGGTACAGTTGACAGGAAATGTCTCTTCTGAAGGAAAAGCTCTCAAAATATTAAATAGTTTCTCATGTGTTTATGGAAATCCTCTTGAAAAAAAATGTTTCTCATCTGTGTTTGGAAATCGTTATGCAAGTACTGCACTGTAGTGAATTATTTTAAGAAAACATATTGACTTTATCAAAGAAGAATTTTTGAGACATTTCTGAAAATGGCATATTTTTTATAAAGGTAACAAGAAGATCTCATCATTCTGGATGTGTTGCATTGATTTATATTGTTAGGTGTGTGTATTCATGTAGAGCCTATCGAGACAAGATAGATTTATTTTTAAATGAAAAGAAATGAAGTGCCAACTGTGGATTTGAATACATTAAGCTAAAGAAATTGTCCAAGCGCCTTAAGTTTACTTAGCTATTATTTATGAAGATTAAAAGCTTTAAAATAGGACCAAAGAAACTCATTAGATATGCTGGGAAGATTGCTATTTCAATATTAAATTATAGTGTGACAATAGGGAGGGGGAAAACAGATGTTTTTTAAACTCGTGTCTTTTGAAAGAATAAATAAGGCATATATAGGATAGAGTTTTCACAAATATTGGTATTCCAAACCAGAAGATAGGAGTGTACACATACTGATGTTTTCTCCCACTGTGACCGTTTTGATGATTGCAACTAACCCTAGAAATTAGAGTTTCAACAGCCATATTATACCAATGGAGTCAGTCTCCTACCCATGTCCAAGGGTCAACTCATTTATTCCACCCATTTATTATCATAAATTATAAGACATAGAACCTCTTGCTTATGGTCGTGTCTCCACATTCTTCAGGTTATAACTTCTCTTTTCACTGATCTATGCAACTTAAAGAATCCTCAGACAAAACGTTCTTGTCTTTAAAATCCCACAGTGGAACCACTGTCTTCTCCTTCCTATGTTCTCTTTTTCCATTCTCTCCTGGAGGTAATTACCCCCATTATTCCCTCAGTACCTTTTTAATTTTTTTTAATGTTTATTTTTGAAGGACAGAGACAGAGTGTGAGCAGGGGAGGGACAGAGGGAGAGAGAGACACAGAATCCAAAGCAGACTCCAGGCTCTGAGCTGACAGCAGAGAGCCCAATGTGGGGCTTGAACTCATGAACTGTGAGACCATGGGCCAAGCTAAAATTGGATACTTAACTCACTGAGCCCTCCAGGTTACCCCCCATCCCTTTTTTACATAAGACTGACAATATAGCGTCAAGTGTTCACACTAATCAATGTATTTATAATATTTTGAGACTGAGTTATAAGAAAAGGTGAATTTAACCTAAAATTAAAATCCTAAATTTTTAAGTGGTTTTAAAAACAAGGTTAATAAAAAAAAAAAGCCTGTCTTGAAGGGCTATCTACTGTTAGATGACACCAGCATAGATACACATATGTGGATGAGAGTGCATACATCCATATTTACACACATACACGTACATACATACATATGGGTTTATGTGTGTAATTTCTTAACCCCCATCCTGCTGGAGGATGGAAAAGCTAAAATGGCAACATCAGTCCTTAGCTACAATTGACATCAAAAAACAGTTTGTCCTGGGGCCCCTGGGTGACTTAGTCAGTGAAGCATCTGACTGTTGATTTTGGCCCAGGTCATGATCTCAGGTCATGGGGTCGTGAGTTCAAGCCCTGAATTGGGCTCACTCTCTTTCTCTCTGTCTCTCTCTCTCCCTCTCTCTCTTCCTGTCTCTGTCTCTCTCTGTCTCTCTCCCTTTCTCAATAAATAAATAAACTTTAAAAAAAAGTTTATCCTGAGGGAAGATTTGGGCCCTTTGACATGTGTTTAAGGATTTGGAATGATTATTAGGAAGGCTGGCATAGTTTTTGCTAAAACATAGAGTTTTGAAAATAAGACACTAATATGGAACCACTTGTAGCACATAGTCATTTCTGGACAGTATTATTGAAATACCCATACACAAAGTATAATTTTGCAAAGCAAATTCAGAAATCTTTTGTGAGGTTGTAAAAGTAAGTCTTCCATATCACTTTCACTAACTTTGTGTGTGTTCATGCATAAAACCTATTAAATTCTAAATGAGATAAGCTATTATGCAAACCATGCTGGACCTGATTCTTAATAGATTTTTTTGAAGGAAGCAAAGAGCTAATTACGACAATAGAGTATCATCCGTATTTTAAAAAAATAATAATTCTAGGTTTTATTTCATGCTTTTATAGATTGCTACCCCTTCACTTTCCATTCTCATGAGCTTCACTGATGATAAGCTTCATAGGGAACGTCACCAATTGTTTCCAAACCTCTGCATCCTGTGAAGTAGGAAGGCATGATAAATTTCTTTCAAACAAAAATGAATCATCTTACGCTTCTCATCTCTCCCTCCCAAAGACAGAGTATGGATAGACCCCATCCAAAGTTGTCGTCCCTGCCGAAGTACAGATTTTGTGATGAAAGGAATGATAATTATAATTTGTCTGGGCATATGAGATATAACCGAAGCCATGCTAGAATTCTTAAGTTGCTATCTTATAACAAATGTAAAAAACAAAACAACAAAAAAATAACTGGGAATATATATATTTCACGTGTGTGTGTGTGTGTGTGTATACACACACACACACACACACAAGTATTAACAAATATTAATGGAGTACCTCAAGATACCAGATACATTTCCAGGCACTAGGAACAAAGTACTGGTCGTAAGAGGTTAAGTCCCAGATCTCCTGAAGCTCTAGAGAGGCTGTTACAAAAAACAACCCAAGAGGGGCACCTGAGTGGTTCATTTGGTTAAACTGTAGACTCTTGAAATCAGCTCAGATCGTGATCTCATGGTTCGCCAGATGGAGCCTCACATAATGCTTGGCGCTGACAGTGCCCATAGCCTGCTTCTGATTTTCTCTCTCCCTCTTTCTCTGCCCCTCCCCCACTTACAGTTACTCTTTCTTAGAATAAATAAATGAACTTAAAACAAAAGTATTAAAAGACAAAAAACCTGAGAGAGAGGTGCCTGGATGACTCTGTTAAGTGTCTGACTCTTGATTTTGGTTCAGGCCATGATCTCACAGTTGATGAGTTTGATCCCACATTGGGTTCTGTACTGGCAGAGCAGAGCCTGCTTGGGATTCTTTCTCTCTCTCTCCCTCTTTCTCTGTCCCTTCCCTGCTTGTGTGCTCCTTCTCTCTATCTCAATCTCAAAAAAATGAACACTAATTTTTTTTATAATGAACCCAAGAGGATGAAAGGAGGGAGAAGCATCTCTGTATCACAGCGCCTTTTAATCTCCTCAGAAAACTTGTTCCTAGCTGATAGTTAGCCTTTGTGATCCAAGAATGTTATTTCTGGGGTGTTAGCATTTAATTTGAATTTGAATGACGAGAAGGAGTGTAACATTTCAGGCAGAGTTGACAGCCAAGGCAAAGGTGCTAAAATAGAAACACCTGGCTTGTTTCAGGAAGCAGAAAGTCAGCCTGAGTGGAGAGTCACAGGAGGGAAGGTTGCGTAGTGGAGGTATGTGACAACGTTAAAGGAGAGATAAGGGTCTCCTCTTGTATGGTGGTGTTAGGGTAAGAGAAGGGGGCTTTGAAGTTCTAGCGTAAGTAAGTGCAAGTGTTGCAGGAGTTTTGGTGTCTTTGTTCGTTTGTTTGTTTGTTTTTTTACCTCGGTACCTGGAATTCATCGTCTCACCGCTTGGACGAATGAAGAGTTAGACACAAAATAAAATGAGCAGCAGACAAAGTGTATTTATTGAAGTGTAAGATGAGTAAGTAAGAATAGTATGAAACCTCTCTTTGCAGAGGGGGCATTTAAAAGTGAATGCTCGCCTCCCTACTACAGGCACGTCGGTCTTTGTTTTATAAGATTTTAGTTGCCCCCTCTTTCCCTTCCCCCTTACTCCTTCTCAGATTCTAACCTCACTGGCTTCATAACTCTCTGTGCTGGGTCCTGCATTCCTGATTGGCTCCATTCTGTTGTGTGAAGAATCAGACTAGGTTCATACTGCCTTCTTATAGCATAAGTTTCATGGTTTACTTATTTTAGTTGTAAATAAGATGACTAGCCATGGGCTAATTATTTTAACTCTACCATAATGGTTAATAAATTGCCTCATATATATTTTTTTACTTTTTTCCCCAGCTTGTTCTAATTGCCTCCTTCTTCTTTTTTTTTTTTTTTTTTCTCCCAAAGACTGTCATCTTGAGTGTGTTTTCTGGGCACGAGGGAGTATGTCCAAGGTGATTGAAATTCGATTTGAAGTGAAAATTTTGCAATGGAAACATTTCAAAGTACACTTTATAAAGAAATGACAGTAAAACACATAAACATGCAGATGCTTCTCCCACCTTTCTTCTTCTTATTATTCCATTTCCATTGGATTCTTGTCTTACAAATTTCTCTCTCCTAAATTCTGATACCTTCATAGAGTTGATGATGATGCTAATGCAGCAAAGAAGTTTGTTAAGATACCTCTAGCCACACACTACTTTGGCACTAACACACTGCTCTCGGTCCATTAAAAATCTTTATTTATGAAATTGGAATGAAAGAACTAAGTGTCCCTAATCGCATAATTAAAATAAAATAATGAAAATAGAACAGTGCCTGTTGACATCCCCGAGTTGGCAACCTTATGGATAGGAGGTGA